TGGAGGGATTTATATCAAAATATAAAAAGAAGTTGACGCTGACTTAAAATAAAGGCCTTTTTATTTCAATATTACTAAAATGAATGAAAAAGACAAAAATGTGACGTGTTTTAATTTTTTTTTTCAAAAAAGTGACTAAAAGTCATTTATTCCTTGTATTTAATCATGCATTCATTATTCTAATATTCCTTTTATATATTTGATTAGTAGTCCATATTTTGCAGCCACCAGCACCTCTGTGGCCGCTGACCCCAGCACCGCCACCGCCTCACCGGCACTGTCGCCGTCATCGCTGCCATCACCGGCACCGCCGCCAGTCACTATCTTAGTGACTCCGGCCAAAATGACTCCACCGCAACAGTGACACTACCGCCACAGTGACTCTGCCCCCCCCCCCCCCCCCCGGCCAAAGTGACTATCCGCCCACCCAACAGTCACTGTGACCCCACCCAAAGTGATTGCCCGCCCGCTCACCGGTCACAGTGACCTGCCCAAAGTGATGCCCGCCCGCTCACCAGTCACAGTGACCCGCCCAAAGTGAGTGCCCACCCATCGGCCAAAGTGACTGCCCGCCCAAACCGATGCCACTTTCTGGCCACCGCCATATGGCCCACCTGACTTACCACTATCGTCACCACCCCTTTCCCAGTCCACAAACCCCCTTCATAGCCCTAGCACCCTCTAGCCCCGCCGCCTGACCTGCAGCCCCCTCAGTCGTCAGAACCACCAAGCACCGCCGCCAGTCCATACTAACCACTGCCATTGACCCGCCTAGCCCTACGCACCAGCTCCCCGACCCCCGACCCCATTTTCGGTCACCAGCCGTCCAATTACCCCCTGCCCCGCCCCCTGTCCTCCGATCTCCCAGACCTCTCTCCGACCAGTTCGCCCAAAAGCTTAGCCATACCCCCACCCCCATCACCATGGGACCCATGTCGCACCCCCACCAGAAGCGGAAGCCCGGCCCCAAATCAGAGTTTCCATCCACCGAGATGGTAGATCCGGCACGGGCAGCCCCAAATCACAGCCTTCGTCTATCAAGGACGACAAATCCGGCACCGGCAGCCCTAAATCGTGGTTGTCGTCCATCCAGGTGGCGGATCTAGCACCGGTGGCCATCTAGGACGACGGAGAAGCTAGCACAGGTGTGGCCATTGACCATCGACCAACAAAGGTGTGAACATCGACCATCAGCTAGCGGAGGCGTGGCCATTGGGCAACGAGGACGACGAGTGGCGGTTGCAGAAGAGAGAAAAAGAGAGCGACTGTTGGAGAATGGCGGCGGCTAGGGAGAGGCGGTGGCTGCAAAGCTGCAGCGGCCGGATAGAATAAGCTTGGGAGATGAGGATGTGAGGATCCAGTTGAGGAGCTGCAACGGCTTTGTCGTTGAAGATCCGTTGATCGGAGGTGGGGAGAGTGTCGAGGCGTTTGTGAGAGAAAGAGGAATTTATAGCCTGTCATAATTAAATGAGGTCAGATTTTTGGGAAACTGGAATATGTCATAGTTTTTTAATAGAAGAGTTCGGGAGTCATATTCAGGCCATTTTTTCTAAAATAAAACGAGACTCTCTCATGATATGTAAAGTGCGAATGGGTGCACTTTTTGCAAATTGGCAAAAACTATGATTTTTTTACAAAATTGTCACCATGTTTTTTTATCAAATCCAATGCATTGTTGACTTATTTTGAGTCATTAGATCTGGAATTGAATATAAAAGAGTTATTCACATTTTGCATAAAAATATCTCTTTTTAAGAACATGGGGAGTGTCATATAAAAATTAAAAATTAGAAGTAAAATCCAATACGATAGTATATAAGAGCAGAGAGCTAAAAAATAGTGTACATCATTCTTATACTTAACATTAATTATATTGTGATTATTTGTCTTAAGAGAAAGTGTCAAGCCCATATAGTTGTAGTGTAATTTTATTTTTCTCGTCCTCTTGAAAATGAATCAGTAACACTACTTCATTACTCTAGCTTGTTCCCAAAATATTGTTTGACATGTTTGACATATATTTGTAATACATATTACTAGTATTAAACTTTATTTTTACTCTCGTCATTTCATTGATTTATTATCTAGTACGAATGTACGATAGTATTTCTTATGATATACTATCGTATATGTTTGTTTGATGATACCACAATGTACCGAGTACATCATTTGTCATTTAAACAATTAAACCCAAAATCAATTGGCGTTCTCAATCATTAATCCTTTTTCAATCAAACAAAACTAAAACCCAAAAAACACATCATTTAATGCCGTAAAATAAACTCTTTAAATTATGTACCTATAAATCTTATGTAATTGATTGAATTCTACATTTCTACCGCAATAATAAAGCTAGTGCCTCTTATTCTTTTGCCAAAAAAGCTATGTTATCAAAATTATATTGACAAGGAATTCGGATAAATGATCGGATTAAAATGTTAATCTAGGCTGACTAGGTAAAACCGTTCAATGTAAAGGATGGTAAACCGAGTGAATACTTTCTAACAAATAAATTACAAAATACGATGTATAATTGTACTCCGTATATGATATGAGATTAAAGCTGTAAAGAGTGAAATGTTTTCTTTTATAATTTTAGGGCTTGTGTTTTCCTCTGTATTCATAATCAAGAGCGCGTTCAGTGGAGGACCCACTAAGGGTCCCACGGGTCCCTGGACCCCATGAACTTAAAAAAATACCTATATATATTATATATATTAAATATAAAAAGTGAATAGTACGTGTATATATAAAATAAAAGGTACAATAGTTGTTATTGGAATTAGGGCTGCACAAGAATAACCCGAACCCGCATAACACGCCCGACTCAAGCCTACCCGACCCTATTTAATCGGGTATTTGATTTTTAAAAATATTAATGGGTTAAATGTGTTTGAACCCGCACCTAATGGGTAGGGTTGCGGAATTAAAATCTCAAACCCGATAGTACCCGCCCGGCCGAAGTTCATTTTACTATTATTATGCTACAATGTTTTCTTGGATAATTTCAATTTAAGACCAATGTGCTCTATCTAGGACTTTATGATATTGGAATTATAATTAAATATTTATCATTTTGACTAGGTGATTATTATATACGGAGTGTTTACGTTTCCTTCTAAATGAACTTCCTTTACGTAAAGATGTTTTAATACTATTACAGTAATACCTAATGTTTTTGCTTATAAAAGATACGAGTACCTGTATTTGTTTGTGTGTTTTGGAAACAAGTTAATCGAGTTTTAAATTAGTTACATTAATTTCCCACATGAAAGATGCGACCCAAAGTGATTTTTTCCCCAATGCCCGACCCTACCCGACCCGTTAATGCATGGTTTATCAACTTATTTTGCGTACCGCGAGTTGGTTAATAGTCAACCCGAACAAGTCGGGTAGGCCCAAAAAATATAGCAAACCCGATCCAATCCGCCCGATGTGCAGCCCCAATTGGAATGAACTTGTAGAATGGAAGCAGGTGCCTTTTAAAGGCTCATCATCTAGCCGGAGGTTTGACGACGATTCATCCCCCTGCACTCAATTTTTTATAACTTTTTTTTGAAGCATTTTTTTAACTTATTACATCAAAACTCTGCGCCCCCAATCAGTTACTATCTTCTCACTTTTTCCTTGTTTCTATAATTCCTTTTGGTATGATTAAATTAGTAAATGGGCATGGAAGCTCAATTTTATTAAAATAACCCAGTTTTGGTATTAGTTACTTGATTGTTTGTAAAATACAATTGATCCCATTTGAAAAGATTGCAATCCTATTTATTATTGTCTTTTTTCTTAAATAATTATAACATGTTGAATTCTATAATATTCACATATTCTATTTGACTATATTATACGGAGTATTTATTAATGTATTAGAAATTTAATTTTTGAGAGATATTAATGAAATATTCTCATTATAAATTTTAAAAATCTATAACATGTTGAATTCTATAATATTCACATATTTTGAATTCTATAACATGTTGAATTCTATAATATTCACATATTCTATTGTTAAAATATTCTCATTATAAATTTTAAAAATCTGAAAATTTTAAATTATGGGATGAATTATAAAAATTTATTTGAATGGTAAGATTAAATTATTAAATTTATGATATTTATAAATGTTTTTTCAATATTGTACTATTTAGGATGAAAAGATATTTCGATAGTCTACCCAGATTTAATGAAATTCGGAGTACCGGGAATAGCTCGAACGTTAATTCAAATTAATGATTCGAAATTATAAAAATGAAGAATTGGATTAAATAATTGCTAAAGTGAAATTAATTTGACTGATAATCTATATGACCAACATATTGTTTTTTAATCTTTGAAAGTTGATTATGGATTGAAAAAAAAATTGCTTATTTTCGTCCTAATGTCTAAGACGAGGTGTGTCGTAGTTATACCCTTCAAAATGGGCCATTTCAACCTCGGGATGTATGTTAACTATGAAACATTATGCTACTTTATTATTTTACATTAGTTTTTATTAATTTTATATTAATTAGAGTTACATTAGAGTGGGGACCCCATGGATCTGATTTTCTGGGTCCGCCACTGAGCGCGTTAAGTAACTACACAATCTGCTGATTTTATTGAAACTGTTAGAAATTATGATCGAATCGATTGAATATCTTGAAATACGGAAAATTTAAGATTAATACATATATTACAAATAAAATTAAGAAAACGTTGCATGGAGTAAAGCTAAAATTGCCTTCTCCGACAACCGGAGTCGATTCAATCATAATATTAATATTAACTCTAATTAAACTTAATATTTATTACACATAAAATTAAAAGTTATGAACTATTAATTTAATGACGTTAACATCATAACATGTGCATGACCAATCATAATGTAGTTGATTTTAATGATTTTTTATTCTTAGAGTTGATGCATAAAATTAGTGAGTGTGTTACTACCAAGTATTATTTAAATTTTGCATTAAACCCAAACCCCTGCATGTATAGATCAAAATCCTGAAGGCTCCATTATAATTACAAGATACGGATGATTCATCGATATGATAATTAAATTAAATAATAATAAAACCAAAATTCGGAGAAACGCAACTCTTGATATTGAAAATACTTTCAAAAACAATTAAAATACTTTTTAAAGTTTACATTTGTGGATAAGGCAAAATCCTCATTCCTAAAGGCAAACCCCCCGCCTACAGTCCGCTCAAGGGCTCGCCGGTGGGACTTAGGGACTGAAATGCATCCTCAGGTGGAATTGGGAGATCCGGAAATGGGAAATTAGGGATCCCTAATCCTGACCCGGGAAATGAGAAATCCGGAATATCCGCGCCCGGTTCTTGTGGAGGACTACCCGGGATCCCGAAGCCGGGAATGCCTGGAATATTCGGAAAAGGGAAGCCCGGAATATTCGGGATTCCTTGCGGGTTTGATTCCGATGGAATCTCAGGCGTTCCCGGAAGAGGGAACCCGGGAATATTCGGAATTCCTCCCGGATTTGATCCCGGAAGAGGAAATCCGGGAATATTCGGCCAGTCTCCTAATAAATTATCTTCAGAGTCGCCACCTCCATCTTCTTGGGTAAGAGTCCTTGAGATTTTAAGATCACGAGCGCCAGTGTAACTCACTAGGTACAGGGCCAACAAGAAACGCAGTACAAGAAGTTCCTTTGAAGAGAAAATTTGAATCTTCATTGTCTTGATTTGTTGTACTCCGTACTACGTATGTGTTCCATCTCCTTATATAGCCAAACAGTACCCATAAGTAATTTACAGTACATTTAATGCTTCCAAGTTCCAACCGTTCCTCTCTCTAAATTAAGAATATTACAAGTAAGATTTTGATGATTTTGACTAAGTGAACGCTTACATATATAGAAATGCATTCAATTCGTTTTTCTCTAGTATATTTGTATGACTAAGTATATTTGTATGGTCACTTTCTCACTTGGTCCCAAAATGAAAAATACATTTAATTATGATCCTATTTTTCGGCTTTTTAGGCTTATTAGTATTCTTTCATCAAACACATAATTTTTAATTTTGCGCATTGTGTAATAATAAGAAAACGTAAGTTGAAGTTACTTTTCTGGCTATATTGGCTGAAATTACTGTAGAGGATCATTTTAGCTATTTTTCATATAATTTTTTCTTTATTTTATGAATAAAATAGTTTTTATATATGATATTTTTCATAAATCAGCAGAATCAGCCAATCCAACCACTTCAGTAAGAACTTCATAAATTTCAGCAGAATCAATCGTTTTAGTCGATTTCGGTGATACCAAAACCGGCTCTATATAATTGTTCATTTACAATTGTACTTTCAAACATAAGAAAAAGTAGTATGGGTACAAAAAAAATGTAAAAATATACTCATTCTTTTGGACCTTTTCAACTTCACTTTTTTTATTGTCACAAAAACTTTGTTTTTTCCCAATAAAGTACTCTCTCCGTCCCCGAAACAACTTCCCGGTTTGATTTTCACACATATTAAGAAAATAAAATTATCAAGGGGTAAATTTTAATGTTTTGACACTGTTACGACACTGTTTGGCATTGTTTTGCACTGTTTGGCACTGTTTTGATGTACATAACTTGCCATTTAAAGAAATGGGAAGTTAAAATTAGGGACATCCAAATAAAGAAAGTGAGAAGTTGTTTCAGGGACGAAGAGAGTAACTAATTTTGTAGTTCTATTCATTTCACACTCCTCTACATAAACTTCAATTATACCAAATCTTTTTCTATTTTTCACCTAATATAAGTAATTGGCAACATTCAATGAGATCGAGGTAATATAAAGAATAAAGCCATTGAGTGTCTTAGTGCTCTTAAGATGTTTTCTTTTGGACTGAAATTTGTTGGTTTGATCAGGTGTGGAATGTTTAAGTTTGACCTGGTCTGAATTGATCTAGTGTGGTAAATGTCTGATCTCTGTGTATTTTATAACTGTCCAAATCTGATCTGGACTTGTCTGTTTAAGTTTAAACTAGTCTTTCTTAATCCGATTTGATCTCATTTAACCTGGTTTGGGACTGAAAACAATTTTAAAGAAAACATAGTTACAAATCCATAGGTGATGTATGCTCTCTAAGGACATGTTTATATCACGGGTTACTAAACGGTGCTTATTAAGATTCGTGTTAATAAGCGGCGCATAAAATAAGCAATGTTATAAGCTCATGTTTACTTCAAAGGATTTAAACACCGTTTAATATTAAAATGTCAAAAATAACCCTATACATATACAGACACACAAACATTCATGACACATGTATATAATATAATATGTGGGGGTCACCTCGTACACGTACCCATACCCTTAACCCCTCTCCCTATATCACGTACCCCCACCCCTACCCATACCCCTACATCCTACACCCAATTCCTTGACCCCCTACCCCTTCTCTACCCCTACTATGAGAGTGACCAAACTATGTACCATCTACCGTTGATCACTTGATCCTACTACAACGAGAGTGGATCACTTGTACCTCTTGTATTTTTCATTAGTCGCTTCTTGAAATAAAATTATTTTAAAGTAATTATTGCTCAAATTTTTATTGCATTTTGAGTTTCAGGTAGACCCATGGTACTCCTTTTCATACGTATTCTATAATGTAGCTTCATTTTGTCATCGCTTATCTTCATGTGCAATCTAGCTTAATAGCTTATTTAGTTTTACTCATTATCAATATAATTGATGCATAATTACTTTTTTTTATTGTTGCGCTCGATCACTTACACACTATCTTTCATGGTTGGACAAGCAAAGTCTCACTCAGATCACTACTACACCTCTTACCCTCCTATGCACTTTAAATAAAATTTATATCTTCTTGTGTTTTGCTTGGTATAGTATATTATCATACACAATAACCTGTATTATATTTACTAAGCGGAACTTTAGGACACCAAAATGATTTCATTGTTGGGGATATCACTAGTGGTTGATTGAAATGTCGATCATTTGAATCTTTACTTGGTGTTTTTTGTATTTCAAATATTGTTTTTGATTTGTTTTACTTTCACGCGGTTTTGCTTTGCTTTATTTTGTTCTTGAATGTTTTTGTATGTGTTAATGGCATATCAATACATACATTGGCATTGGTATCCAAGAGCCACGTGAAATTCTTTAGATTACTGGTCTTTAACCCCAACCTTCAAACCCCACAAATATTCAAATTTTACACCCACCAACCTCAATTGATATCAACAACATTATCGAATTGCGAATATAGGAGTTATGTCGGATATCTATTTGCGAGGATGAGAGTGAAAATGATTTAATTACTGAGTACTAATGATCTTAAATCAAAAATATATCTTAAAGTAAATGTTAGCCTTAATGTGATACACTTCACATCAGGTGCGGAGCTAGGACATTGAGTTGGTACAAAGAGTATTTTTGAAAATTTTGTACACAGAAATTTTTACACTAAAACTATAAGCATTTTTAAAATTTGGGGATGGGCTGGGGTCTAGGTCTAGGTGTCAGGGCCGCCGGTATAGTCACGATCTTATCCCTGACTAATTCAAATTTTGAATTTAGTCACGGTTTTAGTCACGGATAAATCCGTGACTAAACTGGTCAAATGCGGCTCTGACACCTCGTCTGCCGCGGACCGATTGCGTTGAATACGAACGGATTAGTCACGGATTTATCCGTGACTACGTCCGTGACTACACCGATATATAAAATCAACACTTAGCGAATTTTTTCATTCCATACGCCTCCAACCCTAATACTCTCTCTTCACCTCCCTACTCTCTCGTCGACTCTTCCACGGACCACCACCGCCACCGCGCCACCGCCGTTACCGCGCCACCGCCACTTCCAACAACGCCGGTCTCCACCGCCGCCGCCGTCCTCCGTGCACTGCCGTTGTCCGCCGCCGGTTGCCACTGTCCTCTGCCGTCGTCCACCACTCCTCTTTTTTCGCACCTCTCTCTCCACATCAAGGTTATGTTTTCTCAATTAATTTTTTACTCACAAATGCATGTTTATGTACTCAAATGCATGTTTATATGCTCCTATGCATTATTGAAAATTGAATGCCCTAATGATTTATTCTACAATTACATATTTATGTGTATATACATTTAATATGATTATATGTGTATATGTTTTTACGTTTATACACACAAATGCATGTTATTTTTATGTTCGCATTACAATATTAATTTTTTAATATTGAATATTAATTTCACATTACAATATTAATTTGCATGCTCAATATTAATCTCTCCACGATTATTAGTTTTGTTTTAATTTCGAATTACAATATTAATTTGCATGCTCAAAGTTGATAAAATTTATTTTTTCTTTTTTGTTTGATTTCTAATACGCATGCTTTAGATATAGTTTGATTCAATTTGATTTTTTGTGTATAAGTTTAATATGCATGCCTAAATATGATTTAATTTTAAGTTAAACAACATGCATGTTTTTTCAATCAAATGCATGATTTAATTTCGGACTTATGCATGAATTATTTAGACATTGTTAGGATTATTATTATTTTATCATCAATCAAATTTATTATTTCCGAATTATTTAAAAAATACCCCCTCATGTCAAACTTCCAAAAAAATTTGACATGTTAATTATAAAATATTTATTTAGACATTAAAAACTGTTTTCCCAAATAAAATATAAAATATAGATTATAAAAAACAGTTTAATAATATACTGTTTTTTTTATTAAACAGTTTAATAAAAAACTGTTTGATAAAAAAACAGTTTGATAAAAATCAATTTAATAAAAAACAGTTTGATAAAAAACAATTTAATAAAAAATAGTTTAATAAAAACATATTTTAATAAAAAGTGATTAATAAACAGTTTAATTAACCGGTTTTATGAAGTTTACTAAAAATGAGGTGTACTAATAAATATTTTTTTTATTAAAACTGACATAAAAAAATATAACACTGGTATTTTATAATTTATAAAACAATAAAACAATTTATAAAGTGTTTTTCCTATAAAACTGTTTTTATAATTTATTAGACTGGTATTTTAAATATTATACTGTTTTTATAAAACAGTTTTTATAATTTATAAAACTGTTTTTTATAAAAAAAATTATAAATAAAACCGTTTTTATATAAAACTGTTTTGTATAAAAACAGTTTATACAAATCTGTTTTTACATAAAACTGTTTTATAAAACAATTTTTTGTAAAACTGTTTATAAAAAACTGTTTTTATAAATATAAAAAGTTAAAAAATAGTACGACAAATGCAATAAAATGAATTTATTAACATCCTTAAAAAAATTAAAAAAAAACACATATATTTAAATTTTCAAAATAAATTATGTTCCCTCATGTAAACTTGCCTAAAAATTTAACATGTTACCTTTAAGAACAATTTATTTTAGAGTTATAAAAAATTTTATTTATAAAATTACCACCCTCATATTAAATTTACACACAGTTTAATATGATATACACATTTTCAATTGATAAAATTATAAATCACACTAACAGTTAAAAATATAAAATAATATATTTTAGATGAGCAATGAACAATCGACCTCGCGTGCCCGCCCAAACTATGTGCCCTTAAATGAAGCTGAGCGCAACAATGAAAATGCGCTTTGGGTGACGCCTCACATGGTTGCAAAGTAAGTAACTATGAATTTTATCTAACGTCAAATAATTTTTTTCAATTTTTACATAATGTAATCAAAACTTTTATAAATAAATATTACTCCCTCAGTCCCAGGGTGAAGTTCCCGGGTTGACTTTCACACATATTAAGGAAATAAAGTTACTGAGGGGTAAATTTTACTGTTTGGCACTGTTTCGACACTGTTTGGCACTGTTTCGACACTGTTTGACACTATTTTGCACTGTTTAGCACTGTTTTTATATAGGATAACTTTCCATTTAAGGAAATGAGAACTTTTTGTTGGGACTGCCAAAAAAGGAAATTGGGAACTTCTCCCTGGGGCGGAGGTAGTATTAATTTTTTGAAGCGATCAAGATGTGTTGGACCAAATCAAACTGATAATTGGAGGACACTTTCTTGGGAACTGGGCAACATACACGGAAGTTGACCCCAAGGTTCGTGAACTTTGGTGGAACCTGTTCAAGGTAAAAAAAAATGAATTTTCTCTACGTAATTCTATTAACGTAACATTTGATAAAAGATAAATTAATTTATTTGTTTTTTATAAAGGCCCGGTTTCGATGGACTGAAGCCCAAGGTCCCGCTATTCTTAAAGCGTATAACGCTAGGATTTCAAACTGGCTTCGTCCTACTTTTAGGCGTGCCCGAACGAGCGGGGTAAGGCCTGGATGGTGTTCGGATGAGGTGTGGGCTAACCTCGTCCGTCACTGGTCTTCTGATCTGAACTTCTTGGCAAGAAGTCAATCCGGTAAGAAAAACTGGATGTCCGAGAAGGCCTTGGAAACCCAATGGCACGGGGGCCGCAAACCTCAGAGTAAACATAAAGAAGATCTTGTAAGTCTTATTCAAAAAACCTTATACCATTACAACCCTTCATTTTTACATTTATTTATGGATCTTAAGCCTTTTTTTCGAACTATGTAGGCGGGGCCTGAGAAGAAGAAGGTCTCAATTCTCAAGGTCATTAAGCACTGCTGGACGAAGCACGGCGATGAGTCCGATGCCGATCTGCCACCCCGCCTCGCTGAAATCGAAGTAAGTAACATCTATTTTGTTACTTAGTACCATTCAAAATCGAATTGAGTAACATTAAATTAACAATTTTTGTACATGTAGACGAAGTATAACACAAATGTTGAGAAGAAGCGGGCGGAATTAGGCTTGACTCAGGAGGATGAGATTGATTCTGATGTGGAAGATGAAGCCATCGTTGAGGCAGCTGGGGTGTACAAAGGCCGGGTTCCGTGCATGGGGGCCGAGGGGCAACGGATTTTGTACGACCGCAGCGGCGCTTCATCTTCTCGATCAAGGCGCGGAGAGGATCCACGTATCGCTCAATTGCAGCGGGAGTTGGAGGAGCAACGCAAAAAGGACGAAGAAACAAGAGCCCAGCTGGAAGCGATGGAACGGATCCTCAGCGCTGGAATTCGGAATCAGCCTCAGCCTCAGCCTCAGCTGTATATACTGCACCCCGAGCAGACTCCTCAAGTTCCGCAGATGGGCGGTTATTTCCGTTCCAACTCTGCTTCCGGGTTGCCTTCATATGGTTCTTTTCAGGATATCAATTTTCATAACCTGTTTCAAACATCTGGAGGCAGCCAAGCAGGAGGCAGCCAAGTAGGAGGCAGTCGCGGAGGTGGCAGTCGCGGAGGGGGCAGTCGCGGTGGCAACCGAGAAGGCCAAGGTGGAAGCAACCGAGAAGATGAGACCGAAGAAGATTATCTATACGATGATTCTAGATATTATCATAATGGTAGTCGGAGGAGCTTGTAAACGATATACATTTTTAATTGAACATTGTTTATTTACTATATTTGTATTATGTTTATTATTACTTTTATTTCAGTCTGTTTATGGATGAAATGTGTGTTCTAGTAGTCTGTTTATTACTTTTATTCTACAATGATTTTTTAAAAATAAACTTTTCTAAAGAAAATTTGAAAAATAAATTTAATTTTTTTTAAAACAAAAAAAAACTTTTAAAAAAAAAAAAAAAATTAGTCACGGATCTAAGCCGTGACTAAATTCTAGACCGGTTTTTTTTAAATTATTTTAAAAATTTAAAAATGTTTTTTTAAAAAAAAAAAAGTAGTCACGGATCTCGTCCATGACTAAATTTAAAATTTTGAAAATTTAAACTGGCGGTCACATTTGAAATTTGAACAAGTAGTCACGGATTGGTCCGTGACTAAATTTAGTCACGGATAGAGGCCGTGACTAAGTCACCGGTGTGGTTATTCCGGTCACAAATTAGTCACGGATAGGGTCCGTGACTAATCCGTGACTACGCTTAGTCACGGAAAACGGCCGTGACTAGAATTAGTCACGCCCAAACAGTCACGGATGTAGTCACGGAAAAAGTCCGTGACTAGCAGAGTTAGTCACGGATTTTTTATACTAGGGTCCGTGACTAAATCCGTGACTAACTCCGTGTTTTTTTGTAGTGGCAAATATTCAAATTTTACACCCACCAACCTCGATTGATATCAACAACATTATCGAATTGCGAATATAGGAGTTATGTCGGATATCTATTTGCGAGGATGAGAATGAAAATGATTTAATTACTGAGTACTAATGATCTTAAATCAAAAATATATCTTAAAGTAAATGTTAGCCTTAATGTGATACACTTCACATCAGGTGCGGAGCTAGGACACTGAGTCGGTACAAAAAGTATTTTTGAAAATTTTGTACACAGAAATTTTTACACTAAAACTATAAGCATTTTTAAAATTTGGGGATGGGCTGGGGTCTAGGTTGGCCCTCTCCTAGCTACATCCCTGTTTCACATACTCCGTGGTTTTTATGTTAACAAACAATAACTTATTAACAATACACTAAGATAATACATAAATAAACAAATCCATTAAATTCTTCTACAATTCAAGAAGGAATATTGGAGTACTTCAAGCAAATAGACACAGGCTCAGACATAATTGCTAAAGAGATGTGTGTAATAAATAGGGCTACAACATACACATCTTGAATACATGCGTCAAAATGGTTATCAAATATAAACAGTTAACAAAAATGCCAAGAGGATCCTAGGCATAAATGCCAAGATGTGCCAAAATGCCTTTGTGCTAATTTTGCTATGAAAGACCTAGGTGATGCCAAGAGGATCTTAGGCATAAACATTCTTAGAGATAGGATTAGGTGTGCTCTTACTTTGAATTAGATTTCATACACCGAAAGGTTTTGAGTAAATTTAATATGTTATCTGCTTCTGACTTCTCACTTTGTACTGTGTTAAGTAGGGACCAGTCTCCCAAGACTGCTCCTGAAACTGAGAAAATGAAATATGTGCCTTATTCCATCCCAATAGGGTCGACTATGTATCTTATGGTTAGCACTAAGGTTGATATTGCAATTTGCGGTTAGTTGCTTGAGTAGATATATATATCCAACCCCGGTTTGCCTCATTGGAATGCTCTTAAGTGGTTACTTGGATATTTGATATCTAGTGTGAAGCATGGATTAAATTTATCTAAGTGTGCTAGTGGTATTCAGTTGATTGGGTATGTTGATTCTAATTATGTAAATGATAGAGACAATAGGAAATTCACTACTTCCTATGTGTTTACTTTGTGTTGTTATTGCATTAGTTGGAAATCTCAATTACAACACATTATTGCATTATCTACCACTGAATCTGAGTATGTTGCAGCCACATAAGCGTTTAAGGAAGCTATTTGGCTTAAACGCCTTGTCTCCGAGATTGGGTTTCTCAACCATGGAGTTACTTTTTCTCGGATACACAATCAGCTATCCAACTTTGCAAAAACCCTGTAGTGCATGATAGGACCAAACATATTGATGTTAGTTTCCATTTTATACGTGATATTGTAGATGTAGGTGGAGTCAAGTTGTGCAAGATATCATCCGAGTTTAATCGCGCGTATATGGGTACCAAGTGTCTTTATGTCGAGAAACAGTTGTTGAATTTTGACTGTGGATAACTGTGATTTGCTAACAAAATTGTTTTCCCATTTTATCTTTTGATTTTCCGTGTGAACCGACGATGATGAGTCTTATCACAACCTTGTATTGTTACTCTACACCACCTAGGACCAATAAGGTGGAGAATGTTGGAGGTATTGGTCTTAACAAGACATCCCTTCAACTTTATTACTAAGACTTTACCTTGGTATATCTTCTGGTAAATTATATGTTGACTCACCTACTACCTACTTGTGACTGTAATTCAATTGGCTGCACATTATATTATGGAGCCTTCCTTCTTTGTATTCGGTGCTCCTTAGTGTGTGTGTGAGCCGAGTGAAACACAGAGAGCAGTGAGGGGTTTCTTCCTTTCTTCTTTCTTTCTTGTGAGACCTCTTTGTGTGGGTAGAAGAGAGGATCGGAGTGGATATGGTGATAGGTGGAGTGATCTAGCCTTGGAGGGTGTGTGTGATCAGACGGATTGATTCCTAACAATATCTATTTGCGAGGATTTTTTCATCTACACCATATTAAAATTTCATGATATTGATTAATACGGAGTACTTTTTCATGTAGTCACTTGCCTCTTCATAAACACAATTCACGCTGGATACACAATCGTACAAGACCATGATACAACTCCGTTGTCCAATTCTCTCAAAAAAAAACTCCGTTGTCCAATTGGGCCGAATCATATTTTTTTGAACATCGTACTCAGCTCATGGGCTTTTAAAAAGAGAAATTGTAATTTATTTATTCTTTTATTTTAACTAAACGGAACCTTATAAAATACTCCCTCCGTTTCTAAAAGAACCTCACACTTTCCTTTTTTGGATGTGCCAAAATAAAAGTCACACTTTCCTTATTTCCTTATTTGGCAAAGAAATCTACATCCAAACAGTGCCAAACAGTGCCAAACAGTGCCAAACAGTGTCCAAACAGTGCCAAACAGTGTCTAAATAGTGTTTTCTACAGTAAAGTCAATTTATTTCCTTAATAACTGTGAAGTCAAACCGTGACTTTCTTTTAGAAACGGAGGGAGTAACAAATACTGCTATTTACTTATATGTGTAGTAACCTAAGGCAAATCCTACATATAGTAACACAGCTACATGACCCTACTACATTTCAATTGGACAATTCAATTACTCTCCCCGTGCCAAAAAGATTGGCCAAATTAACTTTTCTTGGTCAAACGGTGATCAACTTTGACATATGATATCTTTTAATACAAAATTATTGAAATATTAAAAAAATGTGATCTTATTCTTTATTAAAAACTCTTTTATAAAAGTATAAGATTTATAAATTACGTATAAATATAATACCTAAAATCATTAGCTAAACTTTAACACCATTGACCAAGAAAAGTCAAATTGGTCAATCTTTTTGGGACGGAAGTACTATAAGATAAATGTGGCAATTTATTTATGGTGACAACTCCGGTACCTTTCTAAAATATGGGGTACCGTACCTATCATTCGTTTGATTGGACCACATCACTTTATCATTTATAATTTAGATTTAAATAATTCAACTGCTACATTCTCATTGGTACATGTGGATAAAGGTATGGTACCTTATGGGTACCATAGAATTTACTTTTATTTAAACAATATTGCACATCAAATATCCCCATATATAATGAATGTTTTGTAGAATAACGCATTCCCCTACATAGCTAACTAGATTGCCACTACATTTTCATCCCCAAACATATTATTCTGGTCAACTAAAACTGAGACCAGAGCTTGAACAGCTTTCTCACTCTCTACAACCACCATATTCCGCGATATGTTGGTCACGGCATGCACCGGAAACTCACCAACTCCTCCTCCTCCTCCTTTACTATAGAACGAATAATGGAAATGATTTATTCTGTTGGGGAACACTAAAAGCGGTGAGAAGTCGGCCACCCACCTCGTCCCGTTCCCGGCCACCGTCATTCTCCCCGTCGTGGACTTGAGTCTCATCCCATTCACACTGTTGTGGTCAATCACCACCTGGTTGACGTCCTTGAAGGCACCATCAATGTGCACAGTCGGTACCATACGGTTCGGGTCTCCAATGAAGATATTGTTCACAATGTTCAGGCCCGAAACCCGGCCCGAAACCGACTTCAACACGACGTTAGCGTCCCCAAGGAAGTACCCGTTCGTGATGTGCACCCATTGAGGGTCCTCAATCACGATGGAGTTGTAATCCAAGTAGCAATCGTCGATCCTGTTCTGCGCCGCCTTGACCAGAATCCCAACCCCGCCGAAAGTTGAGGCCTTGTTATAACAATGCACGCCGGTGATCATGTTAGACTGGCCCCTCAACACGACGCCGATGGCGGCCGAGAAGATGACCACGTCGGTGACGGCGTTATCGGTGCTGTCCAGATCGACCGCCGTGCCGGAGAACCCCTTCTCCTCCGAACTCCCGCCAACTGTGGGGTGCTGTCCGAGGAAGGTGTTGGATATGAAGGACTCGTGCCCTCGCCGGACGAGAATCCCTTGGGTGGTGAAGTGGAGGAAGAAGCAGTTGGTGACGCGAATTCTGGCAGAGTCAACCACCATCACCCCTCCTCCCCGGAAGCTGGAGTCGAAGAGGATGTCGCGGAAGGTGACATCCTCGTAATGGATTACCCCGGGCTTGTCTTTGCTATCATCTTCAAGCTCAATTAGATGTCGGTTGCCTGGAAATGTGTCGGATGCTCGCAATGTGCCGCCCTGTACCTGTCACCAGGCCATACCAGTACTGTGTGGGTTTTAAATTAAAGAAATGTCACAATAATTTTTTTGAAACTATATATAAAAAGCTAATACGTATTACTCCCTCCGTCCTTGAAAATTGTTCTCTGTTTCCTTTTTGGACCGTCCCAAAAAATTGTTCCACTTTTCCCTTTTGGAAAGTTTTTTGTGGCTACAATTCATTTACATTTTTCTTACTCAACCACAATCATATATACATTTCCACTTTATTCCCACTTTCTTAAACTCCGTTCCAAGTCGATGCGGGAACAATTTTCCGGGACGGAGGGAGTATATAATATCGTATATATAGACAATTCTCTCAAATGTAACCACTAACCATCAAAACTTTTACACACTGTATATACTCCTCCCATATAACTTTACTCACTTTCCCAAAACAAATGTCTCCATGTTTAAGGTACTATCTCTATCTCATATCAAACTCTTATTTGAACTTGCATGAGTCAAGAAAGTATAAATTATGTAACCAAAAGTTTTGTGGAGAAAAAGAAATAATGTGAAACACATATTATTTGACATAATATATCGGAAAATGAAGTTTGTATTGGACCGAACAAAAAAAAAATGATATTGTTTATTTTGGAATGATTGAAGTAATTAATGTGCGGTTTTACTTCATTCTTTCCTCTCTCTCCACAAATATAATTCACACAAATTTTAACTTTGATTTTAATTCTCACTCAGCTTCAGTCTTGCCATGTCCAATGGGTTCTAGTATATACGTAGTAACTATCAAAACTTACTGTCCTCTGAGTATTCAATAAATCTTAGGGAAAGTTCCCGAAATAGGACTAACAGTTTGAAAATTCCAAAATAGGACTGTTATGTTTTTTTATTCCCAAAATAGGAGTAATTACTGTCAAGTTTGGAAAATACTTCCATGTTTGAAGTCTGGTACTGCCAAAACATGGCAGTAACTAGTCCTATTTTGGGAATAAAAACATGACAGTCATATTTTGGAATTTTCAAACCTTTTTAGTGTTATTTCGGGTAATATTCTCTAAATCTTACTAATGGATTGTCGAGCATTAGTGAGAGAGAGAGAGAGTACTACGGGTGGGCATATTGGTTTGGTTTAACCGAACCGAACAAATCGAACTAAAATAAACCGAAACAGACCATATGCAATTTGGTCTGAGTTTGGTAGTATTTCTTCCAAACCATATTAAACCGAACTGAAACCGATAAAAACAAAAAAACCAAATTGAACTAAAAAAAATTCAATGAAACCTTCATATACTTTTAAAAAATAACAAATTCAAACCAAATCAAACTGAACTAAGCTGAACCGAACCAAACCGAAAAATAGTATGGTTTCTGTTTGGTACTAATTATTCTAACCCGTTTCAAACTGAACCAAACCGAAACCGATATTCACACCCCTAAGTGAGACTATCGACCATAGTAGAAAAAGTTACAAATATTACATACGTAGTATATTGTATGTTTGGTAACAACATCGGTCTCTACTTTTTAGTTTTTGTACTATTTAAAAAGTCTCTACAAGATTATAGTTGTATGTTTATCACAACAACGTTTGGCCGGTTTACGACATTATGCAAACCCCAACATTGCAGTTGTGACAGAGAAAGCGACAACGGCATACATTGTAGCAGCCGTGTTTTTGTTTTCATTAATTATTAGAGTGGTTGAGGGTGTCTTTCGTTATTCAACAAATGGAAGTTTGAAATATTAAGTTCACCCTCCTAAGACCATTTGTAGTGGTAAGGTATTAGGAGTCTAAAATGTTAAAAGTGGAGATTTTAGACTGCTAATTTCTTACATTGGAGAACATTATAGGAGGCTAAAAATGGAGATGGGGAGGGAGGAGTCCAATTTTAGCTACTTTGCCAAAAAGAAAAGAATCATGAGTGGTGGGTAGTTAGTGGGCTCCATAAAATAAAACTCCATCTTTCTTAAAATGGTTATAATTTGTTTTTTCACAAATATGTAAATTTGTTTTTTCTTAAAAAATATATCAAAATTCATAATTTTTTATACTCTTTCATATGACACCAATATGTAATACAAAAAATGAAAAAAAAAATCTGAAATTTTAACTGTTGAAATTTTCATGAGCCCAAAAAAATACAAAACACAATTTTTTAATTCATGTAGCCTTCACAAATAACTTAATATTCCGTAATCGAACTTTACTTGAACTAAGTTCATTTTTTGTTAACCGAAAAATGTTAAAAAAAAATTAATGAAACTTATTATTTTTACATCGAAATGTGTATTTTTACTTCAAAATTATTCAGGGATTAAATTAAAAAGAAAAATATTACTTATAATAATTTAAATAATGTTTTACTAAATTGATATGTAAAAAATGTGCAGAGTGAATTTTATTGACGGTGCTGGAATGCAGAGAAATAAGAGTCAAAACACTGTTTTCATATGGACGGAGTCCATTTTTGACATTTTGACTCTCACACCACTCCAAATGGTCTAAGTGTTTGGAGTATTTAAATTGCACACTTTATCATGCAAACTAACATTTGTGAAAAGTATAAATTTATGTTTAAGATGCTAACATAACCATCATAAAATTTATGAATTTTATATTACATATGCAAGTTTGTGTCATTCCTCAATTGAAATGGTATATGAAGAGTGGCTAGAAATATTATTATAACAAAACTCATAACCCTAAAAATGATAAAACGTAAAGGTGGATGGTCCATATTCAGACTCAAAAAATGGGAATGGTTAGTTTTAATTAAATTTAATAAAAGGAAAAACTAGTTTAAAGATGCATATAGTAATTTAAACGAAGAGAGTTAGAGAATGCGTTAAGAAAATAGTAAAAGGAAATTAAAATAATTCAAAAGAATAAATGAAACTAGTGAAGTTATTTCTATACAAAAATTAGATGGAGACAATTTTAAATAACACTTGAATAGAGCAGGATTAATGAAAAACTTGTGTCGATTTTATGTGTCAAAAAATGATAGAAAGATTAGGGATGTCAGAATAAGCAAATCAATAACAAACAATTGTTTGGCGGAAATTGACTCAACTTATTACACCAAACAAGACCGACGAATACTCCTAATAATAAGGCGTTCATGTTTTGAAAAAATGATGGGCCACGTCGCGTGTTTCTAAATCTATGTCGTGTAAAAAAAACATGGACAAATTAGTCAAAGACAAAACCCAAAATTAACTCAAATAATTAACCTTCCAACAATCATTTACCTCTTACTGAAAAATGGTGAGTATTACATTTTTATGTTTGAGTAGATTAAGGAAGATTATTATAACCACATGGGAAGATAAAAAGGAAAAAATGAAATAAAAATAGTGGGGCTCAATCTTGAAATTTCTCCAAGTCAAAGCCACGCTACTTATTTTGGTTGACCAAGAACATGATCCTTTGTTTTTTCCAAAGTTGAATACACAATTTTCACATTAGCTAAAAATTTGTATGATACCAAGAATAGTGAGTTTGGAAGGGTTTGTTTTGTAGAATTGTAGACTTTGGGATAGTTTGTCTGTTTGTGTTTTTTGTTTAAAAATAAGTGGCGTTTTTAGTGTCGGTTTCTCTATTTCACATAATATGGACAATATTATGGTGTAATCTAATAAACATCGTAAACCACATTATTTTAAAATATGAATCACAATAAATTACGTTCAAAAAGCTTAAGAAGGCAAGGGTTAGTTGTTTTGAATGACAAATCGTTGCACCCAAAAAGCGAAAAAAATCACTTAATTCATACACAAAAACAGGGACAAATTAAATAAAATTTGTCATGGTTGGCGAACTTTCGAAAAGCCACAAAGGAAAAATAAGAAAAGAAGGCTCTTTTTCGGGATTTGTAGGTTTGTAACTATCTCGCTCTTGTAATTAATTATTGTTCTGTGTGGTACATACGAGCAGGTAAAGAGATGGAGGGAGTAAACTTGTTGTCCAAAGCGTGCTGCAAGATTACCAGAGAGAATGAATAGTAGTACTGCGTAAATGCTAGAAAACTGTAATTTGTGGGTTTTAGGTTTTGAACTTGATCAAAACGTTTTTTTACTACATCAAGATGGTTTTATTGGAACACTAATTTAAAATGATTTTCTTGGTCATATCTCGGAGAACGAGAAAAGAATTCCTATTTCGACGGTGGGGGATGTTTAGGAAGATAACTGCTAGATACAAATCAGGATATTTGTTACAAAGCTATGCTAGTCACGCAAGATAACGGCTTGCCTACACAGAACTTGAACACTCAAAAGGGGATGTTTAGGAAAAGTAATCAGCGATCACACCTTATGAGGACTAGATCTCAAACACGAATGGAGCTCTGATGATTTGAAGGAGGGCAAGTGTTTTTCTAATTGCTAGGGAGGGATCTCATGTTACTCTTTGGGTTGGGTGTTTATTTCTTTATTTACGCTTTTTCTCACTTTTTTTTTCCTTTTTTGCATTTTTTCCGTTCTATTTTTGTACTTTGATCTCGTTTTTAATAATAATAAAAAATCAAGCTAAGAGACTTATAAACTTCAAATGATGGTTCATGCACGGGTATCATATTATAAAATCTTTCAAGTTTATCTATTTTATTCTTTTAAATCATTTTGAATATGAACATTATTATTTTGTATCAAACAGCTTTGCAAACTCAATAAAAATCCACTTTAGATTATAACATCTTCAAACAAGATATTTTCACAACATATAAATTTCAGTTACCATGGATCAATAAAAGGAATAGTTTAGTTGGAATATACAAAAACAATAGCATTCAAGTTAATGTTGTTGTATGTTCCAACTAAATTATTTCTCTTATAAATACAAGGATTACAATTGACAAGGTTATCATCTCTAATTGCATGATCACAACAATAGACGTACTCAAATTCAACAAGATATTTGATGTGAATATGTAACTCGTAATAAAAATGAGTGATTGTGTAGAGAAATTAAAGGTCGGGATAATTACATTTTGAAGTAGTGTAAATGGAAAATAGCTTGTATCTTCTAAAGATAAAAATGTAACTCAATACTATCTCTTAACACCATCGTTATGCATATGTTAAAGGGCGATTATTTGTCGATATTTTGTATAAAAACAAACACCCATATTCTTGTTCATCCAATTGAAAAAATCAACCCACTTTAATGCAATAAACAATATAGAAATCTCTCAGGTGAATAAGTATGGCATGGAAAAAGATTGAGGAGGAGAAACGGTACTAACCACAAGATTTCCAACGCCGGAAGGGAAAACAATGGGAGTGCTGATCTTAAAATCACCACCTTGAAGATCAACGATGAGGCCGCCCAAGTCCTTAATCCCAGGCAGCAGCTCGGCCCCATTCTTGTGCAACTTAAGGGCATCACCAATAGCCTCCATTATTGCACTGTTGCTGTCTTCTTCTCCCGTCGGGTCTGCTCCATACCCGATTGGATACAATACCCTTCCTTCTTTCTTCATTCGTTGAATAGTTATTGTTCACAATTCCAGAATCACCCAGAAAATTTATTTTATTAGTGAGAAAAAAATGCGAGTCTTGATGATGATGCAATGTAATTCCAAAGAACATATTTAAATAAACAAATGTAGGTGTTTCAATTATTACCTTTATGGGATTTGTGGATTGTGCAGATGGCGTGGAAAATGCTAATTTTTTGTCAAGTTTGATTTGGAATTCTTCAACTTTCAGTTGTCGAATGGAGCATTGGACCTTTACCAAGAAAACGAGGAAGAGAGCCAACAACGGAGGAAACCAATAACCAGGCTGCATATTTTTTTCTCGAATGACCAATACGTGAGAAATTGTTGACAATTTCAAGTTTCATCACCCAAGAGGAAAGCTCGGAAAATACATATATAGAGATGCACTCTATGTGGGTTCCACTTCTCCCTCTTCCCACTAAATCCTCCCATATTGAAAGGAGCGAGAGAGAGATAGAGAGGGGAAGATCGGTTCAAATAAAAGGATTTCGTATGTGAAAAATAAGAAGTAATCATAGTCATTAATCTATTAAAATCGATGGATGAGATGAAATTTTAAAGCAAAATTGTGCTGACATTTTTGTAAAAAGTCCACTAAGTTACAAATTGGACAAACTAATCCTTGATATCTATATATAGCATCACATATAATTTACAAAGTACAAATTTTGTAAATTAATCCACCTAATTTATAAAGTATAAATTAATTATGCGCATCTATTTTAATTGATCATCCATGTGGTTCATCTTCATTATTTTGGATAATGGATAATAGTTGACTCATTAGTCTTATATGTTTATTTTATTTTAATGAAAGAATCATGTTTCCTCCCACACTACTTTTTAGTCACTGTCTTTTTTTCATGTTCATCGATCAATAGGTTACACCATTTCAATCAAATCTTAACTTCATCACCATTTCCGTCGATCAAAAGTTTATGCCTTTCTCATAATTGTTTCTTCCCTGTGCGCGAGTTTATTTGCATGTGTACCATAAGTTTATAGTCAAACTCGATTCATTGTTACGTTATCTCAACCTTAAAACTTCACTCCCCCATCTTAATTGCAAGTCTCTACTTGTCTTATTCAACCTAATACAATTTATTCAAAACATTGTATGTTAATAATCAAACATTGTGGATTCAAGTATGAATGGTGGAGAACGTCCACTCTCATTTTTTGTTTGCTATTATAGTTATTTAGTTAAATTTATTCATATCATTGAATCTCTTTATGTTTGTTTTTAGTCATATGCAATAACATTTAGTGTTCATTGTCTCATGTTTTATTGTAAACAAAGTATTGTCTATTTTTTCAAATTACGTTTTATATTTTTTTTACTCTTTCGGTGTTGTTTTTAATTTAACATACAGATTTCAATATTTTAAAATTAGAATGCAATTTAATGTATTACTGAATTGTTATGTTAGTTATTCTTGGCTTATATAAACCATGAATTGATTTGTGATATCATATGAATCATTAATAGGTGTACTGTGCATCATTACGTCGCACTACCTCCGCTCCGAAAAGGTTCGTCATATTGACTTTTCTTGATCAATGATAATAAACTTTGGACAATGATTTTAATTATTATATTTGTATATAATTGTAAATTTCATACTTTTATGAAAATATTTTTAATAAGAACATTTTGATATAATTTTCATATTCAAAATAATTTTCGTATTAAAAATGACTAAATTTATTTTTGATAAACTAGATATGACTATACTCACTAAATTTATTATCAATGTCATTATGTTATAGTGGCAAAATTATCAAATTGGTAAAAAAAGGGTGGTTTACTAAATTGGTAAAAAAAAATCTCTTGAGACATATTGGTAAAAAAAAGAAACCTGAGTAACAAATTGGTCAATTTTTTGTGAGTGAGACCATTTTGGTTCTCCACTTTAGAGTTCCTGACATTTCATATCCCAAGTATTGTGAAATCGACATTTTTAGTCCTTTTACTTTGATTTTGTCATGAAAAGTGGAAGACTAAAAATGTCAACGACCATGTTTGATAATAGCAGTTGTCTGCTAGCTAAGAGACAGTTGAATTAGCATATTGATAGTAGCAAATTCTGTTAGCTGTTTTAATTGATCACTTCCATTAGTGATTTGGAATAAAATGTTAGTAACCCCAAAATCTACTCCATATGAAATTCTATTTTATATAGAATATTTTTTCTATTTTATATGGAGTAGATAAAAAAAACTAATAAAATAGACATATTTAAAATATTAATACTTAAAATATACAGAGTATGAATTTATATGTGTGTGCTCGCGTTAACTAATGTACATATATGTTAAAAATGATAGTGGTAGTAGTTATTTAAAATAAACGTAAATATTTTTTTAATTTTTTTCAAGAGTTGTTAAAATAAAAGAAATAAAATTAAGTTAGATAAATAAACTTTATAAATTCATATCCTTAATTGTCATTTTACGTCTTAAAAGCTTATCATAAATAGCTAAATTACTAACATTTTACTTCAAACTGCTAATCAGATAGTTAAAAGAACTAACAGAATCTGCTAGTATCAATACGATGATTTAACCGGCGCGCTATTAGCTAGCAGGTGACTTTTATTATCAAGTGTTGCCATTTTTAGCTTAGTCCTCCATTTTCATGACAAAATCAAAGTACAAAGACTAAAAATAACAATTTCACGATACTTAGGATATGAAATGTCGGTAACTCTAAAGTTGAAGACCAAAAGTATCTCATTCACAAAAAATTGATCAATTTGTCACTTGGTTTTTTTTTACCAATATGCCTCATGAGTTTTTCTTTTCCAATTTGATGACTCACCCTCGTTTTTTTTACCAATTTGGCTATGTTATAATTGTAATGAATTATATTTCCATTTAGTACTCTTGTTTCAATCAAGCCCATCAGATTATTTATACTCAGCCCACTTCATTACCGGCCTGTGCACGGAATGCATACCTTATGGATCTTTTTGGCCTTCCTACTCTTAGAATTTTGAGCTAATCTTTCTTCATAATTTTTGTTTTTTGCAATGGGTCAGGTATAGCCTCCCCATTGTGTTTTATTTCATTGTTTCCAGCGTGTTTTATTTTTCCACCTCTTTGCTGGTGTATTTTGAGAAGGAATGCCTTCTTGGGAGGTATTGGTTTGGTCCCCCTCCATTTGTATTCTTTTACTGGTTAATAAAATAAAAGCTTGGACGGGAAAAAAAAAAAAAACATACTTACATACTTGTCATTATTTCAATGTTTAATTCCGTAAAACGAGTGATATGAGAACAATTTTGTTCGTCCTCTATGATGGTGAACATCATCCTTTACCAGCACGAGTAAATATATGAAGTTTCACCGTGATTACATCCTCCCATATGCCTTATCAGATCGGAGTGTGGGCGGGCCTTGGGGTTGGGTATTCAACATTTTGGAGGAATGAAAAATAATATGGAGTTATATATGACTCCACTATGAAGTCATATGGCTTCAGTAAATAAATGGGTGGCTATGCCACCTAATCCTATACGTAGTGAAACCATATAGAATTTCACATTTTTTCTGTTCCAATCATTCTGTGCCATGTGGCAGAGGTTGCTGTAATCTTTTCATTGTATGGTTTTCTCAAAAGTATATCATTTTTTTAATCTTTTAATCGATACCAATATTATATACATAAAATAAAAAGTTGATTAAATATGATAACAAGTATTTTTTTCTTCAAACATTTGCATCAGTAGTGCAACATTGTTGTCATGGGCGGAGCTAGGGGTGGGCCAACCTAGGCAATGGTCCACCCCGAATTTTAAAAATGGCTTAATTTTTAAGGTAAAAAATTTCATGTAATTTTTTTCCTGAAAATATTCTTTGTACCGGCCCAGTCCGGTCCAGTGCCCTTGCTCCGCCCCTGATTGTTGTGATATGAAAAAACATAAATATGAAAAAACATAAATATTATTTAATCTAATATAGTTTTGTAAAAGTTGTACAATGAATAAAAAGTCATAATCATTTTAGAAAAATTGTCTTGACACATGGTACATAATGAGGGGCAGGGGTAATGTTTAGAGTTTTTTTTTCGAATTAATGTTAATTAATTAATTAATTACGAAAATAATGCTGGAAAAAAGTATTTACCAATATACTGCTGGGCCTTAACCACGGTCAGGGCTAAGTCGCCCAACGGTTGGGCGACTTACCCCTGAAATATGGTTGAAGGCGAGCAGCTACTGCCAGCCACGCACGATCGTGCGTACCCTGGGACACACGATCGTGCCTAGGTCCAAAAACAGCATTTCAGCAGATTTTTCGCCCCAATTCAACCCGGACTCATCTATTTGCTATAAATAAGGTCTCTCTTCTCCTGTTTAAGTGTTACGAGCCAGATACAACACATTATAAAACATACAACACACGTCTTCTCAATCACATACATAACACCTCCTCCATAAAAAACACCTTGAAAATACCCTTTACAAATCAAATACAAAATCTTCCATTCATAACCGGTATAACACATTACAATCATCCAATATTCATAACAAGTAATCATCTAATATTCAGACTCGAACACATCAAGACAACATACAAGACTTTACAAGATAAAATACGTCAAATGTTGTAAATTGTTCCTACAACATCTACTGCATAAGAAAAACTACAATACAAAAGACAGGCTACAAGTTCCCATCGTCAGCTTCGTCATGGAGATGTTGCTGCTCATGTCTACGCCTACGCCGTTGTCGTGGTTGAAGAACCACTCTCTCATGTTGCGTCTGGGATGATGAAGCAGCCGCTGCACTAGACGTGGATGGCATCTCCTGAGATGGGGGCATGTGTATAAGATGGCCGTAGTCGACTCGCCCCAACACATCTGAACACAAGAACGCAATGCCTGTGAGAGCCTGTCCATACAAGTCCACATCAGGACTATCAGTCACTGTGGCAGTAGCCCGCTGATGTATGCGCTGCAAAGCTCGTGTCTGAAATATGAAACACAATTACATTTACATTGAAATACATACAAATATTACATAAATGAAATGACTTACTTTACTAATTAGTAATATACTCACAGTAAGATGCAAAGCTAAGGAGCAAGGCTGATAATGATGAGTAGGGAGTCTGAACGAAGGAGACACAAACAAATGAGTGATGCTGTAATACCATCCCATGTAGTCTCCTGAAACAGATGGCACATATGTCGGTGTCCCGGCCACAACTAGCTCAGCTCTCCTTTCCCACATAGTCACATATCGGACATGTCTGAGTGCCCAATCCTCTGTATGCTTCCCACGCCTATCCAGCCTATGCAGCTCAACATAAGTGTCGATAGGCCGTGGAACCACCTGCTCAAACCCAAACTGTCGCAAGACTCTATCAGGCAAAT